CCAGTGTTTCCCTTCCCTCTGACTGGCCCTCACGTTGCAAACAAAGCTTTTTTACAAGGGTGGAGCGAGGAACAGAATGGAAGTGGAAGGGAGCAATGCTTTACACGAGCACGGTTTTGCAGAGTTGTGTTTTAGAACAGATGGAACTGGGAAGGCATTTTCTTTCATCAAATGGGCACGATGCTTTGCAGTGGTCTGACTCATCAGGGGGAAAGGGACCTGTTGGGGGGCCTTCAAAACCTTCCTATTCCCCAGACCTTAAACCAGACTTTAAATTAAGCCTAGCCTGAAGCTGGCATGATTTCTTTCCTTTTATGGAAGGTAACGGAAGGACCTTTCTCTTTTAGCCAGAAAGCTTCAAAAAGCAAAAGAAGAAAGAAATGCACCAAGATGTATGTCTTGGCCCTCCAGCTTGGCATTCTCTCCGTTTCCATTCCACTAATAGGACAATCCAGCCAAGTGCCCCCCCCAGTCGCTAAGAAAGAGCACCTTTCGCCAGCAGAGAGCCAGCTGTTCCAAGGCAATCCCCTCGCCCTCCCATTCAGCGAGTACACCAAAATCAATAGCACTTAAAAAACAAACACGAATTACAGAAGAGGAGGCGAGCATCTGATGGACTACAGAATATGAACCCATCATCAGTAGGGAAAACAAGCAAGTTGTAAGATTAATGCCCATTGCTTTGCCTGGGTGTTGCTATTGCTAACGAGAGGTCCACCCAAACCTTCTCAAGTCCTGGAAAAAATAGGGAAGGGGAATCTGCTTTGGCCCTTAATTCGATCCCACCCAAGCTGGCCGCTGGGTCTCCTTGTGCCTAAGAGGGCTTCCTGCCTCAGCTGAGCTTAGCTTCCTTCAAGCGAAGCATCGTCTGGGATTGTCTTCTCCTCTGGTCCAGGTGCCTGGCTGGATCAACAGCTTCCCAGCTCAGCTCAGCCAGATCTCATGACTGCTCTAAAGACCATGGCTGGCTTCACATGTGGTACTAAGCTATGGTTTAAGCCATGAACAGGGGCTTGTTCATTAGCCACAAATGGATGCATCTGCACCACATGCTGCACTATAAAGCCTGGGTTTGAAACCGCAATGGCTGCATTTTTGCAACACACTAATCTAAAGCCACGCGAAGCATACAACGGTGTAACATGCCATCAGGTGGCCCTCTGATCCACCCTTCCATCCTAGCATGCAGATGTCCCAATTCTGCAAGCCTGTGACTGCTAAAACTGATGACCATGAAATGTCCTCTGGATGGTTAACCAGGAATTGAGGTTATCACCTTGTGAATTCCCTTCCTGGGAGAGGTTCTCAAGGAACACATATTGTTGGGAATGCTGGATTCTTCCCAAGAACAGAGGGCCCTTTCTCTTCAAAATCCTTCGCCAACATGTCCCACCATCCATTCATCGCTTTGTGGGAGAAACTCACCAGGAACGTGCTAGATTCCTGACTGAACTAAGTTCTAAATGCTTATATCCGAGATGTTAAATCAGAGGAGGAAACCAAGCAAGGAGAGATGATTTGTTTCTCATCAACTTCTCCATTGCACATCTTCTTCACTTGTATTCACACAGATCCACAGAGATCCCAGTCTTGGGCTTTATGACTGGACTACTGCTACCATCATTCCCTGCGTGGTCATTGGGGGTGCTGCCTGAGAATGATGGAAGTACCCACACTAGATGCCACGTGGTCCAGAAGCCACGCAGGGGAATTAGGTTGCTCCTTCAGCGCCCCCTGCTGCTGAGTTTTAGAAAGGAGACAAAGATGAACACTGGTGAGCAGGTAATTCTTGATGGATCAGACCAAAGGTCCACCTAGCTTAGCATCTTTCCTCCCAGGAGGGCCACCAGTCATATGCCTCCGAGGAGTCTATCAGCAATGCCTGAAGCTAACCTCTCTCTCACATGTTCTCCTGGTATTCAGAAATACAGGGACAGCCGGTGGAGCACTAAAAAGATAAGAAAAATCCTATGGGTTTAACGCATATTTTCAACTGATGTCAGGGTATCGGTGGCCCTTTTTCAGCTGTTATAAAGGGTTTACAAGTCTTCCAAGTTGCCTGGTCTTTGGCCGCTGTCATTATCTCTCTCCAAAATGCTCTGGAAACCACGAGATACCCACGGCGTTCTGGAAATTGGGTCAGGGGCAAGAGAGGAAGAGCTTTAAAAAGGGGGGCTGCACAGAGCAGAAGCAGAAAGCCCCCTCCCTGAGTAAGCTTCCAAATATTGCCTCCCGGCTGAAATCAAACAATGAATTCCAGCACGCTCCCCCCAGCCCCAGCCCCAATTTGTTCCTTGCAAATAGGACACGGAACCTGGAGGAGGTGTTTCCGCTTAGCCCTAAAAGTGACGCATCACTCCCAGTCCAGCCACACACAACACCCCTCAAGTTCTCTGACCCAGTTCCCAGCGCCTTTGTGTAACACAGCCCCAGGGAGTCATTAGATACCTAAATTTAGCTATTCCTACCGTTTTTGTCCTGCTTTGCCAGGTGTTAGACTTCTGTGTTAGTTTACTCACCCCTTTGTCACTTTGCGGCTGGCAGGAGAACACAGCATGGGCAATCAATGCTTTCTGGTCTAGAAAGAAAATCTCCATGACCACCATTCCTCTCGCCCAGTTTCAACACTCAGTTCTCCTCGGTCATGAAAAACAGCATTAAAAAGACCCCAACAAACCAGGCTCAGTGTGGTGGGACAGAAAGAAGGCATTGTCTCTGAACAGGGGACCGTCATAATGGTCTCTCGGCACACAGGAAGGGGCAACAACAGTCGTCTGGCAGAAAGGAGAAGAAAGCAGTGCCACCACCCCAAGTCCAGATTAAAGCCAGGAGGAACAAAGACACCAGATTCTAGCTACAGAGCCACACTTCCTTTTAACTCTGGAGAGGGCACCCTTGGAGTGGAGGAAATACATCCAACAGACAAAAGGGGGACTGCACCCTTTCCCCCCTTGTCTTTTAGACAGGACCAGGGTCAAAATCCAGTTCATCTCTTTTCCTAATCCCATCAGACCCAAACTGACCCTCCCTGCTCCAGACAAAGCCCCCAGATCCCATCTAACCAAAGAATAGAAACTTCGTTGTATTGTCGAAGGCAATAGAAACTTCCTCACCAGCTCACAGCCCAGCTCCAGGGCAATCCTTACAAGGGAACTGCAACCTGGAGGAACCCCAACCACCATCCTTCATCAGCGGATGACCTCAACCTTCCGTCTCCTTAATAGTGGGCTTCCCCAGGTCTGCGGTCCTCCTGCAAGGCCCATTTGCCCAACAATGGAACTCACCCCAGGTACGCTGACAAGGACCTGCCTCACTTCCCCAAACTAGCCAGCCAATCACATCCCTGGGATCTCCTGCCTTGTTGGCCTCCACTTCTATAAAAATCTTTGCTTTCCCATTGTTCAAGTCCCTCTTTCTTGTAAAGCAGGCACCCAACGACCATCACACGGTCCTTCTCCTCAGTGCTGTGCTCCTTCTTCAGAATGGATCCACAGCGCCCTACAGCCTGCATCCTATTCATTTTTGCAGAAACCAGCATTCACTGAAGAAGTCATATTAGTTCTTCCTTGGCTAAAACATCCAAGGAATTCTGACTCCAACAACCAACCAAAAACAGGAGAAGGTCAACAGAGAATCTTGTGGACGCCCCCCCCCCTTTTTTTGCTCTCAACAAACATTTAAACATTGGGGACGATTTTCAGTATTATTATCTCCCTTGGGTTTTTTCTTTTTTTATTATTTTTGCCAATTCTATCTCATGGGAACTAGTATTAGTTCACCTTGGATAATGAAGATTCAGGGCCAATTCTAGGTATTTCCAGAAATTTCGGGTCTGCCAACAGGCTAGGTAGCTGGAATTTTTGACTTCAGCCCTTGGCAGCATTCAACCAAATAGACAAGGTCATAGTTGGCTAGGGGACAGAAGTACCACCCTATCATCTTAGCCCACCCTTCTGCTACAGAGTTTTATGTGTTGAATACCAAGGACTGAAGGCAATCCAGTTTAGGCTAACAGAAGTGTGGCCAAGCAATTGCAAACCTTTTGGTTTCTGGGAATGTCTGGCTCCATAGGGAGCTCCCCTTGGTCCTGAAAAAGAATGCCTTAACACCTGGACAGCATCTGCTCTGAGGCACTTCCCAACTTGCTGTCCTCCAGATGGGTAGGGATGGTCCCCATCTGATCAACCTCTGAGAGGATACAGGTAGAAGACGATCTTAAGAAGGACCCATATTTCTATAGGAAGACCTTTCTAAAGTAGCATTTGGGTTTTATAGGCTGGAAATTATGGAAGTTACAAAGCGAAACACACCTGGAAGGCACAATGCTTAGGACGGTTGTTCTAGAGCAGTGTTTCTCAACATTGACAACTTTAAGAGGTGTGGATTTCAGTGCTGGCTGGGGAATTCTGGGAGTTGAAGTCATGCCTCTTAAAGCTGCCAAGGTTGAGAAACACTGTTCTAGAGCTTTGGAAGAGCTCCAACAAATAAAAGGCTTGTTCAAGAGATCAAATCCAAAGTAGAAAACAGGCAATCCTAACGTTCGTTGGCTCCAGGTTGATTGATTATGCGCCATCAAGTCGTTTTTGACTCCTAGCAACCACGTAGATTCTCCATGACCACCTGCCCCAACCTGATCTTTCAAGTCTCCCGACTGTGCACCCATCTCCAGGTACCTCCTTGATTACCTACCGTTTTATCAACAGCGTGTTCATTAACTGCGCGGGTACCACTTCACTTTTTCATCCCTAGCGTTTTTGGAGTGAACCCCAGAGAATCCCAGCAATAACTGTAGTTTCCTCCCATACAATAAACACATGATCAGGAAAGGGAGCAAAAAGAGAGCTTTGGAAGAAAAAAACAAAGCAGAGCTATCTACTGCTGGAGGAAGTTGCTGAGGGTCTAGTTGAGAACTAAGTTAAGCCAAGGTAAATGGCTTCCAATGGCCACCAAGCCCAAAAATAAAAGTTATCCAACCAGTGAGCTGGCAAAACTGTACGTACCAGATTCCAGAACAATGGGTTGAAAGCGATGCAGAGAACAGCCAGGACAAAGCTGGGATCAGTCACATTCACGTAATCGGAAAGTAGACTCATAGCCGAGAGATCGACCTGCGAGAGACACTGAATATGAGTTGGCTCTCACCCAGCAGAAGCCTCTGCGCTGGGCTGGTTCAAATGAGATTCCAAACCCTGGTTTGCACTAACCGGGCTTTAAATTCTAAATCACGGTCTGCGTGTCAGACATCCAAGGTTTGTGCAGTTCCCTCTTTCCCTTACGGTACCAAACATCAAGGCCGCAAGCGATGATGGGCCAAAGAAAATGAAATGGTAAAAACGGGGGCTTCAAACCCTCCTTTAACCTGGGTTAGTAGCTCCAGGCTGATTCTGTATTGCACATCCTTCTGCAAGATTGTTTCAGACTGTCCAGCTCGTACTAATAATTAACCATATTACAGGCTTACTCTCTCTTTACTCTACTGTTTCCAAACTGATCCAAATTCTCTGGCTTAACCAAAAAAAAAACACCTCATGGTCATTTGACCTTAGTACAGAGTCTGTAATGTCAGCCAATGTTTGCCATATTTCTTGATGTGGCAATTCTCTATTTACCTTGCGTGGTTACTGTCACTTTTGCATCATGCCCCTAACCCAGGGTTTCTCAACCTTGGCTACTTTTAAGCTGGAGGGACTTCAACTCCCGGAATTCCCCACCCAGCAAGGAGTTGAAGTCCACCCGTCTTAAAGTGGCCAAGGTTGAGGAACCCTGCTTCAAAGCTTTGAGAAAAGAGGGTCTCAGGACCAGAACGGGTGCCTTGGGCCCAAAGGCGTCGCTTAAGGCAGTTGGCTCTCAAACCCTCATAAAGCTTTTAATAAGAATTGTGGTGGTGATCAAGGACGGTGCCAAAAAGAACAGTTGCAGATCCAGCAGAAATCAAGTTGTGGAACTGCTGCTGGAGTCAGAACTAAAGCTGGCACTGATTCTTGCTGCTCTAAACAACCAGAGAGAAAAAAATAAATGGGATAGCTAGGCTGGAAGAGATTTCTCTTACCCAAAGCAGCTCAGGCCGTGTCCACCCCCTTTGAGAAGAGTCCTTCTACCCGGCCTCCTGTGTGACCAATTCCATTGTCTTGCCTGTATTTCTTGACACCCTGAGAGCTTTTCTTTTTTAAAAAAAGCAGAACTAAACTCCAAATCTAGAGCTCCACTTTTGGGGGGGCCAATCTGAAACTCCACGGAGGAGGATGGGAGTGACCCAGCACCAGGGCCACGCCGGTGAAGCCAGAAGGGCCGCGTCCACCATCTTCCTCCGTAAGCCTCAGCTCTCGTTTTCCTGCTGGGGCGGCGGGTTTTTGATTTACTATATTTATCCATTTGTAAAACCGACTTATACAGCCGCCCATCTCACCACGGGCGACACCACGAAGCTCGAAACACTCGATAAATACATTCAAACTACAAAAAGCGAAATAAACGGCGACGGAGAGGGCGTGACAGGCGGCTTCGGCCCCGTTGCCCGGAGCAGCGGGCCCTCGTCCT